GCTGGTAGCAGGATAGGTAGTTGCTAATGCTCTGGCTGGACTTTACGGTTGATGGTGAATCTCTCTCCTGCAGAAACAGCGAAGAGCCAAGAAGCCTGGATCATCACAATGTCCCCACAGGCCCCTGTAAACAGCAATGAACGGTGGCTATGCATACATACATTATGGTAAGAAATTTTAAAACATTTTTTACAATGTTACATGCCACACAGACTCTATTAGGTATAGGGGGATCTGTTTTGGAAATAACTCTTATTTCACTCTGCATCTAAAATCATTTTCTAACCAACAAAAACATTAATCTGGATAGACTGAGATACTTTTAAATCTCTCACCTGAGACCCAGAGCAGCAAAAACATGAGGAGCTTGGCCTGATGTATTATTGTTCTGCCATTGCCCTGTCGATGAAGCTCAATTCACATCGCGGAGGGAAAGAACACATTTGTAAAACTCTGGGCAGACAGCCGGCTCAGAGAAGACCATGCAAACAAATAGTGATTATGGAAATAAATCATAGCAGTGGTTGTGGAAGCATGTAATATAAAGAAAGAGTCAAAAATAGCATCAGAAAATGTGACTGTTTGACTACGAAAGACACACACATAAATTTAGAAACTGTAATTTCCAGTAGGTATTCAGAAAGCTGTTGAAATAGAAAACATTTTTCAAAATCAATAGCATTCTCTCACACAAGCTACAACCAACACAAGATAATGTAACAAAGAGCCTCTATGTTAAATACACACACTTTGTGTGTGTGTGTGTGTGTGTCCTTAAAAACATTCAGGCTCTGAAAAGATAGATAGTGGGAAATCTTGGATTTTCTGCAACCAAAAAATATTTTATTACTAAAGTTGCTTTGTCCTGTAGGCATATAAGTACACTGCAAACCTATGACCTTGGGTACCAGGACCATGCACCACCCAAAGAGGCAGAAGTGGAGGCCCAGAGACCATGCAGGTGAGAATTTCTGAAGGAGAAGAATCCTACATTAGGCTGGAGCCCCTCAGGACTCCACTGTCAGGATAAGAGCAAACTAAATCTACACTGAACTCTCCCCTTCCCTCAACTTCTGGGAACTGAACTGCAGGGACAAAGGCTTAGATTTGTTGCAGAACTGGAGAGGAAAGGGGAAAGCAAGAGGAAAAAAAACCTTCCCTAAGAAGTTGTGACTGTAGCTCAATCCCCACATGGGATCACATCCCAAGCATGCATGGCCTAAGTGAGTCTGGAACTTTCCAACTTTGAAATTGATTTAGCCCATCCAACTAGTAGAGCCCCCAAACATCGGGAATAAACAAACAGAAAACATCTCTTGAGGAGGACACATCCATTCTAAACTCTCAGGAGACCTCATAAATGATTTTTGAAGGACCAACTTGAGCAAGATATCAGATTTCTTGATATACAAAAAAAGAAGACTACCTGAATGTGAACAACACAAGTAACAGCAGAATCACAGAAAGCAGATAACCAAGTCCTCCTAGGATTACAGATTTTGAAATTAGCACAAATAGTTTATTTTTAAAAAAAAATGAATAACAAACATGGATGTATCAAGAGGGTAAAAGGAAACTAAAGTGGTGATATTACAGTCTTTAATTAGAACCAAACTAAAACCCAGAACAGCCAACACAGTATTGAAGAAGAACAAAGTTAAAGGACTGACACTACCTGACTTCAAGACTTACTGTAAATTTACAGAAGTTGAGACAGATTGGCACTGGTGAAAGAGTAGCCAAATACACATCAATTGAACATAATAGAGAGCCCAGAAATAGACCTATACATGGATACAGTCAACTGATCTTTGACAAAGCAAAAAAGGCAATTCAATGGAAAACAGACAGTTTTTTCAGCAAATGGTGCTGGAACAACTGGACATCCACATTCAAATAAAGAATCCAAACACAGACCTTACACTTTTCAAAAAAATTAACTCAAATGGATTATTGACCTAAATGTAAATCAAAACTTTAAAACTCCTAGGAGATAATATAGGAGGAAATTTAAGTGACCTTGAGTTTAGTGATGACTTCTTAGATACAACACCAAAAGCACAATCCATGAAAGAAAAAATGTATAAGCAGGACTTCAGTAAAATTAATAACATATGCCCTGTGAAAGATACTGTTAAGAGAATGAGAACCAAGCCACAGACTGAAAAAAAATATTTTCAAAAGACATATATAATAAAAGAGTTGTACTAAAATATACAAAGAACTCAAAAATTCAATAATAAGAAAACCAACAACTCAAAGTGGCAAAATATCTGAATGGACACGTCACCGAAGAATATATACAGATGGCAAATAAGCATATGAAAACATGCTCCACATCATAGGTCATTAAGGAATTGCAAATTAAAACAATAAGATACCACTACACACCTATAGAATAACCAAAATCCAAAACACTGACAATATCAAATGCTAACAAGGATGTGGACAACAGGAACACTTATCACTTACATGCAGAATCTAAAAAAGCTGAACTCATAGAAACAGAGACTAGAGTGTTGATCAACAGGGACTGAGGGTGGGGGAAATACAGAGATACTGGACAAATAGTACACACTTTCAGTTATAAGATGAATAAGTCCTGGGGATCTAATGTGCAGCTTGATGATTATAGTTTATAATACTGGATTATATACTTGAAAGTTGCTAAGAGAGTAGATCTTAAATACTCTCACCAAAAAATGTCATGGTAATTAAGTGATGGGACAGAGGTGTTACCTAACACTGTGGTAATAATCTTTTTGCAGGCTTTGGTGTATCAGATCAACATGTTGAACACCTTAAACTTACACAATGTTATTTGTCAATTATAACTCAAGAAAGCAGGGGAGAAGTTGCTAGTCACAAAAGAATATATACAAATATGCAATATGATTTGCATTTCCCTAACAATTAGAGATGTTGAACATCTTTCCGTGTGCCTGTTGGCTATCTGTGTATCTTCTTTGGAAAAATGTCTGTTCAGATCCTCTGTCGACCTTTGGTCGGATTGTTCAGTATTTTGTTGGTGAGTTGTATGTAATTTATATAATTGACATATGATCTTCTTATCCGAAATATGATTTGCAAATATTTTCTCCCATTTGGTGAGTTATCTTTTTCTTTTATTCATTGATTCCTTTGCTGTGCAGAAGGTTTTTAATTTGATGTAGTCCCATTTGTTTACTTTTTCTTTTGTTTTCCTCACTTGAGAAGACATGATATTCAAAAACATCCTGCCAAGACCGATGTCAAAGATTGTACTACCCATGCTTTCTTCCAGGAGTTTTATGGCTTCAGGTCTTACATTCAAGTCCTGAACCCTTTTTAATTTTGTGCATGGTGTAAGATAATGGCCTACTTCCATCCTTTTGCATGTGGCTGTCCAGCTTTCCCAATACCATTTATTGAAGAGATTTTCCTTTCTCCATTGTACGTTCTTGACTCCTTTGTTGAAAATTAGCTGTCCATAGATGTGTGGATTTATTTCTGGGCTCTCATTCTATTCTATTCATCTGTGTGTCTGTTTTTGTGCCAGTCCCCTGCTGTTATGATTACTATAACTTTGCAGTATCTTTTGAAGTGAGCGAGTGTGATACCTCCAGCTTTGTTCTTTTTTTCTCAAGATGGCATTGGCTATTCAGAGTATTTTGATTCTGTTTACATAAAGTGCCATAACAAGCAAAGCTTTATGGTTTAGACACCAAGAATGTAAAAACCAGGAAATGATTACTAGAAATGTTAGAGATAGGGTTTCATTTTGAGGCGAAGGAAAGGTTACAATTAGTAAAGGATACATTGGATTTCAGGGAAGGGGGAGACCAGAAATATACTAGATATGATGACATCTTGAGGCGTACTTGATCATTATCCAAAAAAAAATGTTCATGTGTGTGTGTTGTGCACTTTTATCTTTTATAATAAAATTTTAAAATTCGTTACAATTTCACAATTTTATTGATAATTACCAAAAATTATATCCACAAAGTACCTCACACAGTCCTCGGCATGGAGTATTTGGTCAATTAATATATGTCGAATAAACAAATGAATAAAAAAGAAAATGAATAGCAGAAAGAACTAATTCTATTAAAGTTAATATGATTGAATAGGAGAAGCACATCTCGCACCAACTGATATCTCCAACTCAGATTTGTCTTCCAAACTCTTAATGTTTGGATGTTTCAAAGGCACCTCAAACTCAATATCTTTATAATATAAATATAACTCATTATCTTCCCCCTCCCCACATCCAATCCTGCCAAACCCCATCCTAGGAAAGGGGACGCCATACATCTTGTTGTGTAAACCAGAAACAGAGCAGACATTCTTGACACTCCTCTTTGCCTCAATCCTCATAGCCAGTTTTACATCCTACATATTCCCAAATCCATCCACTTCTTTCCATCCTCACAGTGAGGGCCTTAAACCAAGACGCCAGCATCTCTCTTCTGGACTCCTAAAGTAGCTTCCTAACTTCTATTTTTGCTTCTATTCTGATCTCTCTCCAAAATGTTCTCCAACGAAACCAGAATGACCTTTTTAAAGGCAAATTTCATCATGTCATCTGTCTGATTAAAAGGCTTCCAAATCTTTCTATTTTGTATAGGATAAACAAAAAAGAAACTTAGAATGCCCTTTCCGATGGCCTCAGACATACAATTCCTTGTTCAAATTCAGCATTTTTGTAGCATTCTTTAATCAATGTGTATATCCCTACCACTGACACCCCTGATAGAATGGCTCATGTCTTTCATTGGTCACCATCATTATTATAACACGAGTAGTCAGAAAAATGCCTGATATACAGTGGATTCTCAATTAGTATTTGTTTAATAAATGCATAAATGAAAACACAATTAAGGAAGAAAAGCATTGATTCTGTCAAGTTTATTGACAACTATAACACAACCCTAAGCAATATACTACTGAGACTTGTTTTACAACCCCATAAATTATTCTAAATTTTAATAGAAAAAAGAATTTAGTACAACTATAAATATTTTGTGAGAAAAAAATTTGATGATTTAATTCTGTCAAATCTGGAAACATATTTTTATCAGTCACAACTTTTCGTTGCAAACAGTAAAAACCAACTCGGTCTAACCTGAGCAGAAAATGAAACGACTGCCTCATGTTATGGGACTTACAGATTTGATGGGAAGTTTGGGTAACACGGGGAGCTAGATGGCATCCTGGAAGGGTGATCTGATTCTCGTAAATGGAGCCATTTCTGGGGGATGGAGCTTGAGCAACATCAAGCAAAAAGAGAAGCTGCAAGATGTTGTTACCATCCCAGATCCTCAGGCTCCTGCTCTACTGTGTTTCAGATGAGAGAGTATTTACAAACACAGAGGTGGAGATTTCCCTCCAAGTAATCCTCCTCTTCAGAAAGATCCACAATCTTAAAATTGCATGTAAAATAAATGCTTCAAGCAACATAAACCTTTCCACCTGTCACAGAAACTGCATTTCAGCTTGATTTTTTCTTCTATCTTGAGTGACACAGCATCTCTGGATCAGCCCCATGTGCCTCTGATTGCAGGTTCCACTGGGTAGATCATGCTCTCACGAAGCAGAGTCCTTGCTTGTCTCTGCAGGAGATAGAGTCTCCATCAGCAGCAGGGCCATGGAAAGCCTCTTCTGCATAGATGTGAAGCATTGCTTAGCAGGATATCACCACCGACCTGGGCAGGCCCCCAGGGCCCTCACTAACCACGATTCTACTCAAGTTAAGAGCATGCTTACCCAGTTCAGTGGCAGTGGGTCTGGGACAGACTTCATTCTTATCATCAGCAGCCTGGAAGGTAAAGATAATTACTGTTTTCCAACTTCAAGATGTACTCTCATAATGACATTAGCCCAAATATTAACCTTTATACCAGGGTAGATGGGATAGACAGCCCAGCTGTCTCTCACTTGCTAGTTACTTATACAAATATAGGGTTATTTTTTGTTGTTTGTTTGGTTTGTTTTGTTGGAGGAAAAAAAGAGTTGGCATGGTGTAGTTTAAAAACCTGCAGCTGGGACTCCTTTTACTCCAAAAGAAAGTGAGTCTCCTTTTCTATCTTTCCATCCACTTCCTTTAAATCTTATTTCAGTACTAACTCTGGGTCTCAGTGCTGGGTCATGCAACCGAGTCTAGTCCTCTCCATTCAGATCCCAAACACCCTTTCCACTGCCTTTACTGCTGTTCCCCAAATAGAACCTCTTCTCTAGGCAAGTTTGTAGTCACTATCCACTGAGCATCCATATTTCCCTACTTTGCCATTTAAGGTGGGTCCAGAGGAAACATCCCAAGAATGAGAAAACACTAGATTTCTACCTATCCTTGTGATAGAACCAATGCAAATTATACTTTTCCCAATACGTTTTTAACATAAAAAAGACTCCTAATGTAAAAATGAGAAGTGAAGAATAGGTTCCTTTTATCATTAGTAAAGTCTTTAAATTGAAAAGAACAGTAAAGCAGGTTTTAAGAGAGGAGAAAAAATGTATGGAAGACTTGCGAGATGAAGAACTCAGATTCCTAAAGAGCAGGATGTTAAAACCCTCCCCAACTCCTCACACCCCTTCCCTTTTTTTTGGAGGAAGATTAGTCCTGAATTAAGGACTGCCAGTCCTCCTCTTTTTGCTGAGGAAGCCTAGCCCTGAGCTAACATCCATGCCCCTCTTCCTCTACTTTATATGTGGGACGCCTACCACAGCGTAGCTTGCCAAGCGGTGCCATGTCCGCACCTAGGATCCAAACCGGTGAACCCTGGGCTGCCAAGAAGCAGAACGTGTGCACTTAAGTGCTGCGCCACCAGGTGGGCCCCATCCCTTCCCAGGCACTGAAAAGCCCTATAGCTTCCATCTCTTCTGAGTACTCCCTTAGCTTTTGTGATCTTTAGCCTTCTGGTCTCTTGTGAATACAGTACTTCACCTGCAGCCTTCTCAAGTAGTTTCTGTTGCCCCCTTCCTTTATCATTTCAAGATCTTTTCCAAACCTCCTACCTAAAAAATAAAGAATAAAGAAACAATCATTGAATTCAATGTGGGTAGACTACATCACCAAATATCATTCCCTATTGTAATCATCCACCAGCTCCAAAGTCTTTTCTCACTTCTGGGGTATTTTAGTTCCTGGCTCACAGACACTCTCTTCAACCCCATGCCTGTCACAATTCCTGGTAATTTCAATATACGCATATATGATCCTTCCACTATCCTGATCTATCAGTTCTTTGACCAATTCTCCTCCAACTGTCTCTTCTTCACCCAACCTTGATCACTTACTTCCATGGCCATACCTTAGATGTGACATCAGAAAGTAATTGCAACTTCTTTATCATCAAAATGTTAAGCATTTCACTCTTTGCCACTTCTAAGAGCTCTGCAGCTCCCTCCATCTGGTATGCCATTGACAAGAATTTCTAGCCTTCATCAGGACATGAAATCTGTAGGGAATAAAATGCTGTGTTTCAATGGAAAATTAGGCAGGTCTATACTATACCTTTCTGGGTTATCAGAGTCTACCCCTGTATACTGTCTTTGAACTTTTCTGCAACTCTTCATGAATTATAAGTAACTGATAGATACCTGAATTCTGTCCTGTGTACTAGAGATTTAATTGACTTTCTTACCTCTCCTTGGAAAACTACTTAAGGTGTCCCCATTTGCAATTCATTCCTTTACTCCTTTTATATCCATGCTGTTTTGATTTTTCATTTGAGCCGGTTATTATATCTTCCTAGTTCACTGATATCACATGAGTAAAATAATTTAACACACGTTCTTTATTACTATTTATCTGAGAGAGTTGAAATTATACTGTTCTTTGAAAATTATCTTTTAATAAATCTGTTGACCCTTCCTCATTTTCTCTGTCCCTAAGGCTCTCATATTCTCATTTCCCTCCTTACTCATCTTAAATTCCATGATCTTTCTTTAGAATGACTCCCTTACATGCAAGATCTCCCTTGACCTTCCATTGTTTCATTTCATACAGCAGAATCTCAAATCTCCACGTGCCTGCTCCCATATTTCTGATATGGCTGGACAAAAACACACAATAATTCTGACTTATCTCACTTTAGATTCATAACCACAAACTTCCTGAGGCCCCCTAATCCTGGCCTACAATCATGTTACATTTCGCTGGCTCATTCAGTTTTCACTATTTCTCTTTCCTTCTTTTATTCAAGTCCTAACCTCTTCTCCTCCATCATAACTTTAAGCGAATTACCCCACTTCCTGTTTCCTAGGTAAGGAGAGGCAATCAGAAGAGAACTTCCACAAGCTACTCCCACAGGTTCTTCTGATCCCCTGGTATCTACATCGCCACTCTCTGCTTTCCTTCCTGTTACTGGAAATGAGCAGACAGCCCTCCCATCTGAGGCCACTTCCTCTGATCCCATACCTCTTGCCTCCTCAACAGTATTGCTTTGCATTTCTCAATCTTACTTGAATTATTAGTATTCCCTCTTGAGCATCATTCCCATCAGCATGCAAAGCTGTTCTTTAAAAACAGTTTTGATCTCACATCTCCCTCCAGTTATGGCCTGTTTCATCTTCTCCTTTACTGGAAAGCTCATTGAAACAGCTGACTACAGTCACCACTTCCAAACCTTCTACTCCCATTCTTTCTTCAGCTTCTTCCTTTCAAGATCTTATCCACACCCTCTATTTGAAACTGCTCTCCTCAAGGTCACGAATAACTTCCAAACTTTGGATTGTGAAATCCAATGCTCACATCCCAGTCCTCACCTCACTAGAGCCATCAGCAGCATTAACCATGTTCACAACACTCTCCTCCTTGATACAACTTTTTCTCTAAGCTCCAGGACATCACTCTTTCTTGCTTGTCTTCTATCCCACTCTTCCTTCTCAGACTCCTTGGCTGGCTCTTGCTCATCTCTCCTGACTCAGAGCTCAGTCCCTGGGCCTCTAATCAATTTAACACTTATCACATTGGTTATAATATTTCAATATCCACTCCAGTTTTCTCCCCTGAACTCTAGTGATGTATATTCAATGGCGTAATTCACAACCACTTGGAGGTCTAGCACACATCTCAAACTTAAAATGCCCAAAACCAAGTTCTTGCTCTTCCTTCCCAAATCTATTCTTGCCACAGTTGTCTCTATCTAAATAATGGCAACTCTGCCCTTCTGGTCCTCAGAGAGAAACCTTGCAGTCCCCAGACCTCTCTTTCTCTCACACTCCTTGTCAAAACCATCAGTGTATTGTTATCTCTATCTTCAAAATATAACACTTCTCACTTCCTCTACTGCTACTGCCATAGAACAAAGCTGTCATCATCTCTAGTCTGGATAATAGCAATGGCCTGCTAACAAAGAGATCCTGCAAAAGTACATATCAACTCATGTCCTGCTCTATTCAAAACTATCCCACTTAGCACATCATTCAAAATAACACCCAAATCATAGAGAAGTCTACAAAGTCCTACACATTGTGTCCTCCTAGTTATTTCTTTGATCTTGTATCCACTATCCCCCTTTCATACTACCTTTTAGCAACAGTGCCTTCCCTCTATTTCTGCAACATGCTGCTCACATTTCTGCCCCACAAATCTCTTTTCTTTAACTAAAACTCTATTGCTTGGAGGTATTTCTATGGCATATTACCTCACCACATTAAGACTTTGATTAAGTCATACCTTCCCAAACGTCTATAGTAGATTCATGAAAAAACGGACCACCTATTAAGAGGGATCCCCTGTGCCTCCTTATATCCATGCATTTTGCAATGTAACTTTGTATTTCGTTTCAAGAGATAGGGGCTATTTACCCTCTCCTTCAATAGGAACAATTGCACTGATCAATAAAATGCATCAAATGGGACACTGTGACAGTGCTAAGTCTAGGCTTCAGAATGCCTTAGGTAGTTTTAATTTCTCTCTTCAGGCCCGGTCAACTGCAATAGGAAGTTGGATTAGTCTGCCTGTTGATGAGAGAGATGAGGTCTCTCATCACCCAGACAGCCTCAGCTGATGGTCAGCCAACTACAGAAATGTGAAAGAGATGAAAGTTGTGTAAGCCTTTCTATATTAACCAGCACCCCGTTGACTTGTCAGCTGACTTTAAACACACAGGCAAGCCTGCCAAGGTCAATCAAGTCTGGCCCATATGAACAGAACCAATCAGCTCACCTATAAACATAACAACGATAAAAACACTACCACTTTAAGCCACTGCATTTTGTAAGTGGTTTAATTACACAATAATAGATAACTACTACATGATCCAGTTTTATGTTTGCACTCACTCTTACCTCTGCATGCTTTTAACACTTTCTTGCTTTATTTCTCTTCATATCACTTACAAAATGACCAAGTAAATATTTACTAATGCACTTGTTTCTTCTCTTATTCCCCCAACTGGAATGAAAGCAGATATTTCTGCTCCTGACACAAAGAAGGTACTTAGAAAATATATCTTGAATGAATGAATGAGTCACATGTATTCCTCAAAGTCAATACTTCAAATATATTTCTGAATATTATGAGAAGGTGTCATGCAGGTAAGAGTGTTCAGACTACACTGATGAGGTTTGCTGTGATCTTTCCTGAAGCTAAATTTCATTAATCCCTGTATTTCAAAAGGAGGTGAAGAAATAATAATAAAATGACTGAGTTTCTCCATTTTTGCACTGAAATTGGCATGTTAATTAAATGTTGTCCACGGGACTCAAGATATAGCACACTTGAGCCACAATATCCTTCAGTTGAAAAGTTAGATTTGGGTTCCCATTGCGATGGATTTAAATAAAAAGATGACAAATGATGGGAAAAGGTAATAAAGAACACTATATATTTCTAGAATGACAGAGTTAAAGAATTTCAGAACTACCTTTTTAAGAATGAGTATGATGAAGGAAATGGAGAGAAGATAAAAGTGTAGTACAAAAGGAGATGGAGTAGGAAAGCAACTTCAGAGACACTGACCAGAAAAGCTTGGCTGGAAAACAGCATCCAAGGAAAGAAAAAGCAAGAGAAGGATGATACCTTCTGTGTGGAAGGTTTTGATTAGGAGAGGTCAAGTATTTATTACTGGGATGACCCAGAGTTCTAAGGGTGATTACAGATAGAGAAAGCAGACCAGGAGAATCAGGAATCAAAATAGAAATGTTCCAGAGTCAAGGAGACACAGAGAAGTAAGAATGGATCCATAAGGGTGTAAAATTCACTGAACCCTTCTCCAGCGCATAGAGACAAACTGTATTGACATAATCATGCCATCAGTCCATGGGAAACGTGCAGGTTCCTGTGACATAAAACCTCCTCATCTCTATGAGATTTTTACAGCTTTTTTTTAATAAGCTCCCAAAAAAGGGGATCCAGAAAGAACAAACTCCTTTAATTTTTCCTGGGCCCTACAAATCCTTCAAAGAATAAGTTAGGAGATACGACCTCTCACGTAGACATAGGAATTGCATGTTCATGTCTGTGTGCAGAGGAAGCAGCTGGTGCAGAAAAGACGCACTGACCCATGGTTTTGGGGAAGAAGTTTGTGTTCGAGGCTGAAGCACTGTGGGAGGAGCACTATTATACTGCTGACAGTAATAAACGGCCACATCTTCAGCCTGGAGGCTGCTGATGGTGAGAGTGAAATCTGTCCCAGATCCACTGCCACTGAATCGGTCAGGGACCCCAGACGCTCTGCTGGATGCTCTGTAGATGAGCTGCTTAGGAGCCTGTCCTGGTTTGTGCTGGTGCCAGTCCAAGTTGCTGCTAGCACTCTGACTGGCCTTGCACTTCATCTCGACCCTCTGTCCTAGAGACACTGCCAAGGACTCTGGAGACTGGGTCAACACGATGTCCCCACAGGCACCTGCAATCACAAATGGACAATGATGACACACAGACATTTTATCATAGACACACTGAAATACGTAATTTAAAATGTGCCTTCTAATGGTATTACGTGTCAGCACATAATTGGGTCTATTTTGGAAATAGCCTGTATTGCCCAGTATATGTTAAAATTGGCGTTTTACCTCTAAAAAGATATTACCCCAAAAGCATGGAGACACTTTTAAATTTCTCACCTGAGACCCAGAGCAACACAGATATAAGGACCTTTGTCAGCGACATCATCTTGCTGCCCCTGCCTGCCTGATGCAGCTGAGCTCACATGGCGAAAGCCCCTTTTATAAAACCTAAGCAGGTGATCTGGGCCTGCAGGAGCCTATGCAAAGCACTTAATGAGGATAGAAGCAAATTGCATGTTCAGTGGGTTGTGAAAGTATCTAATGCAAATGAAGTGCCAAAAATATCACCACCAAAAATGTGTATGACTATAACCACACAAGTCAACGTAAAAGCCCTAAAACTACAAACTGTTAGATGATCTAATGAAGAGTTTCTATTTTAAATTCAAAAATGTTTTTAAATGAATTCAGTCTCCAGAAATGATGGGCTAGGTTCCTCATATCAACAAATCTGGTAAAATAATAAAACTTGCTGAAAAAAATACTACGAAACGAAAAAATAAAGGAAGTGAAGTAAGGAGGAAGGGGAAAAGGAAGGAAGGAAGTGACAGAGGGAAGGAGGGACAGAAGGAGGAAGTGAGGGAGGGAAGAAGGGATAAAAAGAAAAAGGAGAACTTTGGGGCCAATTTTTTTTTTTTTTAAATCTATGACTAGCATATGACTGACCTCTAAAGCCATTTATATCCTAAAGGTATGTAAGGGCACTGCAAACTTCTTAGCTTGGATTTGGGGGCCATTCAAGGGTGGGAGAGATAAAAAACATGACCAGAAATTACTCATTTGGAAAGACACATGGGACCCTAATTTGAGATAGGGGCCAGAGGGACTCTAAGCTCAACTGAAGAGTCAAGGAAAGAGAAATTGTAACCTATTCTTCCCACAACTGTGAGGAACTGAAAAGAGGGTTCTTCATTCATTGCAGAAATGGAGAGAAAAAAAAACAAGACAACTTTGGGGAGTTATGGCTGGAGATAACCTTTGCAAGGATTTTGACTCCTTGTATGCATGGCCTATATGGGTCTGGGACTCTCCAAACTTGGAATTGGATTAAGATATTCCTACTGGTACAGCCTTAAATGAAAGCTGTTCTGGAGAAGGGCACATCATTCCTAAGTCCTCAGGAAGCCTCATAAATAACATTTTAAAGATCATAAGTACCAAAAAATCAAAGAACCTTCACATCCAAGACAATAAGATAATTTGAAAAAAAATTACACACAGTAAAAATGACAAAGAATAAAGAGTTCTGCCCAGAATTCAGATGTGGGAATTACGAAATTATTAGAGTTTATTTAAAGAAATAAATTACAAATTTGACACTGTGTGCAAGGTACAGGAAATGTAAAATTAGATGTCACTGCAGAATAGTGCTCTTGTAAGAGCACTAATCCTTTTCATGAGGGTTCCACCTTTATGACCTAATCACTTTGTAATGGTCCAACCTCCTAATACTATCACGTTGGGGATTAGGATTTAAGATGTGAATTTGTGGGGACACAAACATTCTGTTTTTAGCATCAGTTAAAGAGGAGGTCCACTTCCAGAAAAAATGGGGTAACAAGGATGAGATTTACATTCCTGTGCATGTATGTGTGTGTGTTTGTGTGTGTGTTAGTGTGTGTGTATGTGTGTGTATCTTTGAAAAAAGTGGTTTTCAAGACACTGCACATCAGACAATGAAGGTCAGTCTGAGAGACAGGAAACAGATGAGCTGAGTCCTGCAAGTCTACCAGCTTGTTACCTTGAGAGAGTTTCAGGCTGCAGCACAAGGAAGAGGAACCCAGGCAGAGCCCAGTAAATTCCCTGGTTGAGGAAACAAAACTGAAAGCCCAGAAAGACTGAGAAAGCTAAAGTTTGCAGGACAAAGTACCACAGAAGGAAGAGCTGCAGAGATAGAGAGAAACTCCTATATCTGTTGATAGTCCATCTAGAATAGTCAACAGAGAGCTGACTGGTGCATGTCTATGAGGAAGCACCCCAAGGCTGAGCAAAGCACCTTCCAAGGAAATTGGAGGTAACACTGTCTGGCACTCACACAGGGACAGGAATAGTGACAGGTTCCACAAGGAGATTTGAAAACCTTCTAATTCACGGGACACTGAGTAAAGTATTCAGAAGGACTTTGTCTCTATAATGGGGAATAATTAGCTCTAGACTAAATACTGCTCTAGTGCCAACAAACAAAACATGAAAGCAAGACCCAAAAGAATCAAACTATTTCCAATAATGTAGCTATGTCCTAGAACAAAACTTAAGAACATTTACAGCAATACAATGAGGTATTGTAGCACCAAAGTAGAAGTCACTAGACCTTGCATCCAATGAAAGGTTAGCAGCATACTAAAAAGCAGGAATATGACCCATAATGAGGAGAAGAATTAATCAATTTAACCAACCTAGAACTGACATAAATTTTATTTTTAGCAGGAAAGAACATTAATAGTTATTATAATTGTATTACAGATGTTGAAAGATTAAGTAGAGACATAGAAGATATTAAAGAAGAAAGTTAAAGTGAACTGCTAGAGAGGAAAACTACAGTGTGTCTGATATAAAAACTGGATGGAATTAATCAGAGATGACAAAAGATGATATAAAAAACCTGGGTAGAATTAACTAGAGATGACAGAAGAACAGATTAGGATACAGGGCGACATAACAATACAAAGTATTCAACACGAAAAAAGAAGAAAAAGAATCCAAAAACATAGAAAGTTCATCAGTGAGCTATAGGACAGCTTCACATGGATAATGTACACCTAATTGGAGTCCTAAAGAGAAGGAGGGTTGGAAACAGAAAAAAATTTGAAGAAATAATAGCCAAAAATATTCCAAGTTTGATGAAAATTATAAATGACCAGATCCCGGAAACTCACTGTTCTGCAAGCAGAAGAAAGCTGAAGAAAAGTGCACCAAAGCTCATCATCATAATCAAATTATTCAGAGCCATGATAAGAAGAAAATCTTGAAAGCAGTGAGAGAAAAAATATTACATACAAACATAAGGATGTCGGCAGATTTCAGAGACAGTGGAACAACGTCTTCGAAGCATTGAAAAACAAATGTCAATCAAAAATTCTATACCCATAAAAATGATATTTCAAAAGCAAACATGGAATAAAAACTTTTAAAACACATCAAATTAAATACATCACTACTAGTTCTACATGACAAGAAATACTGAAAGAACTCCTCCAGGAAAAAGGAAAATGATAGCAGATGAAAATATAAATAGCACTGGAAAAGGAAATGGCGGGAATAAATTTATAAAATTTTTTCTTGTGATTTAAACCTCTTTGAAAATCAGTTGACTATCTAATAAAAAATTATGACAAGGTATTGTGGGATTTATAATATATATAAAAGTGAAATGCATGATAACAATAGCATAAAGGTCAGAGGGGTAGAAATGGAATATATTATTGAAATTCTAATAGATTGGAAGCGTTAGTACCTTATGGTGAGTTAAAGGTATGTACTACAAACCCAAAAACAAACACTAATAAAATGTAAAGAATTAAACATTATAAGCTAACAAAGGAAATAAAAATGAGTCATACCAAATAGTCAATTAACAAAGGAACTAAAAATGAGTCATACGAAATAGTCAATTAATCCAAAAGTAAAGAGAAAAAGAGGAAGAAAGAACACATGGAATAAATAGAAAACAAATAGTAAAATATAAATAGATCAAAATTTAACAGATTAACCATTCTGACATTAATCAAAACAAGAATGGTTATTTTAATATCAGATGAAGTTGATTTCAGAGCAAAGAATATTACCAGGGATAAGGAGGGACATTCTGTAATGATAAAGGGGTCAATTTTTCAAGAACACATAACAATATTAAACATTTGGGTGGATACATTCACTATCTTGATTATAGAGATTAATTCACAAGTATATACATATAACATGTCAAGTTGTGTATTTGAAATACGTGTAATTTATTGGATGCTAATTTTACCTCAATAAATCAGTTTTTTAAAAATCACTCATAATCAAGTCTAAAAACAACAAAAGAGAGAAAAAATAACCACTCACTTAATCTGCTAGAAAAATAATCTTACATAAATTAGCACTTTGACACTTTCATGGACAGTTGAAGGACTGTTCAATCCTCCAACACCATTTACCTTGCTGTTGATTTTTTTTTTTTGAGGAAGATTAGCCCTGATCTAACATCCGCCGCCAATCCTCCTCTTTTTGCTGAGAAAGACTGGCCCTGAGCTAACATCCGTGCCCATCTTTCTGTACTTTATATGTGGGATGCCTACCACAGCATGGCTTGCCAAGTGGTGCCATGTCCACACCCGGGATCCAAACCGGTGAACCCCAGGCCGCCAAAGCAGAATGTGAGCACTTAACCACTGCACTGCTAGACCAGCCCCCTGCTGTTGATTTACATGCTATGATTATAGTATGTTTTACTTATATGCATATTTTAACCCTGCAAAATATTATTTTTGCTATGTACAGCTGATAGACATCATGCTTATGCCCATATTTTATGCATTTCTTACTGCATCTCTACATTATTTGTCCATTGCTATGTAACAACTTGCCCCAAAACTCAGCAACATAAATATTAAACATTCATTCTCTCACAACATTTCTGTGAGTCGGGAATTTGAGTATGGCTCCCCTGGCTGATTCTGGCTCCAGGTTTCTCACCCGGTTGTTGTCAAGATGTCAGTCAGAACTACGGTCAGCAAAAGACTTGGCCAGTAGCTTTCCAGGTAACCCACGCATATACAGGCACGTTAGTTCTGGCCATTGGCAAGGGGCCTCAGTTTCTAACCATGTGAATCTATCCACAAAGCTACTTACCTGTTCTCACAAGGTGGCATCTGGCTTCCTCTACAGCAAATTATCCAAAAGAGAGTAGTAAGAACTCACAATCTCTTTAATGTCCTAGTCTCTCAAGTCTCACATTGTTATCTCTTCCGTATTGTACTGGTTACACGGTTATCCTGAATTAATGTGCAGAGGAGTGTGTGAACATCAGGAGAAAGTAATACCAGGAGGTTGGGAACACTGGGAGACTTCTTGGTGGCTGGGTATGACCATTTCTGAGTTTCCAACTGGATTCCTCTTGCCTAAAATATCTCCTTTAGTCTTCTTTTCCACGTGAGTCTACTGGTAATAAAGTATTCCAATTCTCTTCT